AAGTGGCATTAAAAAGTCTTAAAAAGTCTTGAATTTGCCTTATGCTGTAGGAACCCTGTTTTTACGTTTTTTTGTTTATTCATGTTTTCTCTACCATGATCCTTGCAGTGGTCTTCTTAACAATCCCAGCAGTCAGAGGTGTTTGCTTCTTAGTATTAAAACTTTAAAATCACATAAGATAAAGTTACAGGGGGACGAGTTCTGAGTTTGCATAAATAATTTTACAACTGTTTGTTTTATTGGATTCTTTTTTTTCATTATATTGTTAACTTATCAGATTAAAGTTTGAATAATGATCATTTCTAAATCTGTCCAAAAACTGCCGGCCCAGTCAAATGTTATCCATTGATAATCTTCTGAGAGATCGCTCCTGGCAGAGTGTAGAAGAGCAGGGCGAGGAAAAGCACGGTGATCAGAAGGACCAGAGCGATGATGATGTACTTCTTGTAGTTCCGCCACACCAAGTGGAAGAAACACTTGAAAGGGTTGACAAACCAGGAGAAGGAGGTGTCTGGACGGCTGGAAGACAAACAGAAGACCTTGTTAAGTTGTAACACTAAATGACCGTCCTCCTCTTTGCTGTTTGCAGTAGAGCCAGAAGCAGCACTGACTGACACCCTCACTGCTGGAGATGCTGGTTGATTAGACTGCTGACTCTTAAGTTTATAAATAAAAAGATGAGAAAGGTGCAAAAGCAAGTTCAAAGACTATAGAAATGAGTTTGTTTCTGAATCATTTGCTACTGGAGTTTCTAAACATTACAAACGTTAAGTGCATGTTAAGGAAAAGGGGATAAAATTTGGCAGTAAGCTGTCACATATTAAGAATCTACCAAATGAAAATATAAAACATCCGTTTAGTGCATATGTTAATTGGTAAAAATTATCTTGAAAACAAAAGCAACAAAGTGCTAATAAAGTACTGGCCAGTTTTAGTGGCGGCTGGCCAATAGAGGGCGCTAGGGTGCATCCCCACACACCCAATAACCTTGATTAAGACATAAAAGTCAAATTATAAAATTAAAATTCTACAAAATGTACTAATATATATTTTTAAGATGTTTAAGATTAATATTTAATCTTTAATGATGAGTAAAGCTGTGATGAGTGTGAAGCGGCCGGGATGAGAATCAGCTCCTCCAAGTCCGAGGCCATGGTTCTCGACCGGA